ACAATTGTCCTTTAATTACCCTTGATCAGATGAATCCGAAGTTTTCCGGTCGTTCGGAGAAAATATTGTTTTAAGCTGTTACGCGCGCTGTAGGCACACTTTCCCAAACTTACTATTTTTTGTCAAATTTCATCAGAAATCATATTTCCTAGTCCTATACACCATTTATAACTTATATCCAAACCTAGAGCTCGAAACTCAATCGACACATTTTACGGTGCAATCTTACCGCGGTATTTTTACCTGGTGAAAATACTATTTACCAATTTTTCTGAAACTTGCCTATCCACTCAATTTTTCGTTCTGAATCCATTTGCAGGGTTATTTTTATCATCTGAGACCTCCTACTCAATTTTACCTTCCTAGGGTTGTGTGTTTGGCTAATTACCGTTTTACCCTTTCTTTCTATTTTAACCTAATTTCCAGGATTTTCACTAATCTTTCCCTTTAATCCTCATTTAATATAATAATATATGATTTAGAAATGCGAGGTGTTATAGATGCACTCCATCAATTCATCCTCTGGTGGTGGATTAGAAGCTTCCATCTCAGGTTCTGCTTTTGGCTCTGAACTCGAGGATTCATCTTGCTTCCTTAGTTTAGTGAGTTTCTGATTCTTCTTTCCAGTCTTCTCGATTTCTGGATCAAACTGTAAAGTTTCTCGATCTACTTTACATCTCATAAAACAGAGAAATCAAATCAGTAACTAAAAATAAAATTCCAATCTTAAAGATCGAATGTTAAAATCAATATTGGCGTAATTAATCCTCGGCAACGGCGCCAAAAACTTGTTACGAAATCGGCAAGTATATCGTTCGTTCCAAGTAATAAAGTGATAAGTAAGATATTATTCCCTCAAGGATTAATGCACTAAGTATTAATTTAACTATTCCCTTTAAATTGGAAAAACTCTGTTTAATTTTCAAAAAATTTGTTGATAGAAATTTAAAAACAGAAGTAATTAAAAGCATGCAAGAATTAATCAAGAATGTCAAAGAGATTAGAAATAATTGAAATTGTAAAAGAAACTGCAGTCAGGATACACTTCACCTCCGATCTTCCTTTATATTCCTAAATTAAATTTTATAACTAACTAATTTATTAGCTCAGACAATGCATTATTTCCCTATTAAATAGTTGAACCCTAATGTCTTAGTGATTTCAACCCTTTAACCCAATTATAATCCTAGTGTCCTAGTAATTCCTCTTGAATTAAACATTAAGCAAATGAATTGAAAGTCTGCAATTTATGTAAGCCTATGTCTAGGTCATGCACGGATTGTTATTCTACCCTTGTCTAAATCAAAACCCCAATATGTCTATTGTGAACTCTAACCCTCAAAACCCTTTAATAGAGCGATCAATTCTATCATGGATATGGAAGAATTAACACAGGTAGAATAAAGCTACATTAATTACATTAATTATAAAAACAATTTAAAACATATAAAGGATTCACATTGGATTCGTGATCCAAACTACAAAAAGAAAACTAGTCATACATATTTGGCTTTAACAAATTAAAATAGTTAAAAGAATTCATAAACGCAATAGAAAAGAAGAAGAATATGAAGTAGAAGAATCAATGATCTTCAGTCTTTAACTACGTTGGAATCCTGATCTCCAGCGTGAGTCTCCCAGAATTCTCTCAATTCTCTGATTCTCACAATTCTCTCAAGCCAAATATGTCTTCCTCTGGGGTCTTAGTCTCTTTTTATAGACTTCGTGCCCTTGTTTAGAAATCTTGATCAAATCTTTTCTTTTCAATCTCCTCCAGGTACCCTCTGATACAAAGTTAAAATTGTCACGTGCTTCCCACGCTACTAGCACCAGGTTGGCGCTGATAGCGTGGTGGGAGTGTTGTCTAGAGGCAGTAGCTTCGCGCTACTAGCGCGAGTCTCGCGCTGATGGCGCAAATGGAAAAAAATGTTGTTGCTGCCAGTGCCACGCTAGAAGCGTGGGGTATTGTATTAAAAAGTGATGCTGGCGCTGATAGCGCTAGTTCCGCGCCAATAGCGCGACGACTTCAGACTTCTGTCTGTCCTTGGCTATTAATTGGGCCTCTTTCTCGTCTTTTTTCCTACAAAAATATAAGAAAATCAGTGACAAGATACTTGATTAGGATTTATCAGTTTAATGGTAATTTTAGTCCTTTTTATTCAATATTGATCAAGATTCTTTCTCTTTTTGGCTTAAAATCACATCTATGCTGGAGGCATATCACGCTCTTAGGCAGAAAGATATGGTGCTTTTGGGGGGCTTAAGCTTCAGATTGAAGGCTTAAGACTCCTCTTCAAGAACTATAATTTTCTTTATTTTCTTTACTTGGGATCTTTATATCTTCAGGTTTTGATCTCTATCTCTCCAAGCTTTATATTTGCTTCTATTTAACATCAAATTCCTTCAAAATAACAAATATAAATTATTTAATTCATAATTCACGTAGTTCATGTTTTTACATCAATAAACTCTAGTTTTCACTTATTTAACTTGATTTTGCATGTAAATTTAGTCTATAAACAAGATAAACTAAAGGTTTATCACGATGGGCGATTATTGTTGTTGCCATGAGCCATTGAAAAGGGCAAGGGCTAACAAGAGACTTTTTATTCCATATTAGCTATATGTCAAAGATAAAAACATAATGAAGAAAATATGTGCATATTCCATTGATCTGAAAGGGATGATACAAGTCTGTATATACAAAAGAATGAGAGTCATAACAGAAAGTGCATATCAGCACCAGAGGCATAACATAAAAGTGCACATCAGCACTACTAACATAAAAAATACAACCAACATTAGAAACAGTTACAACCAAAAATAACAATAAGCTAAAAAATATATAATATGCACTAATATAACATTACAAAAGAGTAAGTTTAAAATTATAAGAAAAAATAAAGATATACAAGGAAAATTAATGGAGTTATTAAATTGTATATATGTTTATAACCAAAAAAAATCAAAATCAAATCTGAAGGATTCCTGTTGGCAAATTAATAATTTAAAACTATAATATAATGATTACCACACAAAAAAAAAAAAAACTATAATATAACAAACAGTAAACTAGTGTATCTACTATTTTTACGTTTACATACATCTATTATATTTGAACATAGTGAAACAAAACAATAAGCTTAGAATATAATATGACAAAAGAGTAAAAAACTAATGTTTAATGGGGAGAGTTATATTTATAAATTTTTTATTTAGACACTATACTATATACTCCTGAAAGTATACTAGGTTACACTATGTACTTCTGGGAGTACATAATAATTTGCAAAAATTTATAAAAAAAAATTCTGTAAACAGATCATTCCTCATATTTAATACTATAAGAAAAAAATAAAGGTTACACAAAAAAAAATTATTAAATTGTATATACATTTATAAAAAATTAACGTGACACCATAAATTTAAAAATATTTAAATAATTAGGTTTCTGTCCAAATATTATTTATATTGCTGTAGTAGTTGAGTAAATTTAATCTTAACCTTTTTTTCACGTATAGTGCTTTGTGTAAAAAAAAATTAAATCTTTTAAGTACGTTTTTTTTTTTTTTTTGCAACCTCTTAAGTGCGTTGTTATAAATTCAATTTTAAATATCTACCAAAAAAATTAAAAAAATTAAAAATTCAATTTAAAAGTTCATAAATAAAATTTACCCTTAAATAAATATTATTATCTTTGTAAAGATTACGAATATCCTTGAGGTTTCGGCGTTTCGCAATGGTCTAAGTTAGCGAAATTACCTGGGGAAGTTAGTTCGAGTGACGTGACATTTAGTCAGAAGAGTGCTGTACTGTCATAAGTTTTAAAATTCTATATAAAATTAGGGGGTTTTGACTTATGTAAAGGAAAATGTGTAAGTATTCACCATATATATATATATATATGAATTTATATCTATCATTTAATATGATCATAATAATTTTTCTACACACATAACATTTTGTGTGACCCACATGTTTTAAAGAAAAAAAAAAACTTCGGCACGTAAAATGAATCTCTATAACATTACACAATCACTTTTCCTACAACATAACTCTTATAAAACCTTATATATATATATATATAGAAAAATAATTTTTTTATAAAAAAAAATTTTCATGTTACACATAATACATGAGTGAGTCTTATTTTGATTTTTTTATTTTTTATTTTTGGACTCCACTCATGTATTATGTGTATAGCATAAAAAAAATTTCTTATGTAAAATAGAAAAAAAATAAATGGATGAATAATTATACAGTTCGACTTAAATGAATTAAAGAGTCAAAAGTAGGTGGATTGAATCATGTTTCCTTTTTTTAAAGAAATAGTAAATAATATTGGTTTATTGTCTCTATTGCAGTAGGAGAGACAAAATAATATTTTTTTTTACATAGAAATCTTAAAATATCATTCCCTGAATGGTATTTTTAGATGGTATTTTCAAAAAAAATTATATACAAAATAAAGTTTCGAAAAAATTAAATTCTGAGAAAAATTTAAAAATCTTATATCAAATATGAATAAATATGATTAACACTTTCAATTTTTCCAGAATTGTTAAAGAAATCTTGTAACAAACGCCAGCGTCGAAAACGTAAGAGTGTTTTTTTGTTTTGTTTTTTTTTTATTTATAGCGGGGCCCATAGAAATGTCTCCTCTTGCACTGGAGGGGATTTTTTTAGAATATTACTATTGCGCCCAACTTTCTATATATCTAATCAATTAAAACCAAACACAGAACACCAATGTTGACAAGTGAGAGAGAAATATTGTTTAAAATACACATTTGATTTTAAATGACAGATATACGTACCCGGCCTGTCATATTTTTTAGAATAATTTAATACTTGAATGATAGAATAATATCAATTTGGAACCTGCTCTTGACCCCTCTATTGTAATCGTCCCCTCCTCAGTGTGTGTATATAAATAAGTACCATTTCTCAGGTACTAAACTACCACAAATACAACGAAATCTTTTTATGTAGCCTACGCTATGGCTTGCACTCCGGGCGAGATCACGACTGCTGCCACCACCATCTCAGCCGTGCACCCCGACGTAATCCTAACTCACATCCTCACGCGCCTCGACGGCGCCGCCCTAGCCTCCGCCGCGAGTACATGCTCCCAACTCCGCGCGCTCTCTTCCCACGAGCACCTCTGGGTCAACGCTTGTCACTCCACGTGGCCTTCCACCAGAGTTCCACGTGTCCGCCACGTCATCTCAACATTCCCTAACGGTTTTCGCTCTTTCTTTGCGGACTCATTCACCGGTTCGCGCCATTCCACAACCGCCACCGCTCCGATAAATCCGGACCACACGCCCGAGCTGATCTCCGCCGTCGATCTCTTCCACCGCCAGCGTCTCGTTTTTTCCAACGTGTTGGAGACCGAGACCGGAACAGGGTGGTTCCGGTGCTCCCCGTTCCGGGTTGACATGGTAGGCCCGAAGGACGCGGTTCGGACTCCGGTTAAATATCCGGTTGACGAGGACACGTGTCGGGATCTCAGCGAGGAGCTGAGGCTGAGCTGGATTGTGATCGACCCTGCCGGCCGGCGAGCGATGAACGTGTCAAGCTGGAAGGCGGTGTCTGTGCGGCGGCACTGGTTGATCAGGGAGGTGGAGGTGCAGTTCGGGACGGTGGTTTCCGGTGAGAGAGGGACGGCGTCGGAGGCGGCGCTGTGCAGTGCGGTGGTGACGTGGGGAGGAGCGGAGGGAGGGGAAATGCATGTGAGGGAGATGAGTTTGCAGATGGAGGACATGGATGGAATACAATTGAACGGGAGGGATAGTTTGGTTATTTTGCAGAGGGCGTTGGAGGGTAAAAGGGGGAGAGCAAGGAACGAGGATGAAGGTTACAGTTACAGTAACGGTTACAGGGAGTTCATGAAGAGAAAAAAGGAGAGAAAGGTAAAGAAAGTGAAGGCAGAAGAGAAATTGGATATGATATGCATTGTTCTCGTTGCGTTTACATTTGCTTGTCTTTTTGGTCTCTTTGTTTTCTGCAGATAAACTAGTGATATATACCATGTACCTAATACTAATAATAATAATAATAATAGTAGGGATAAGATATTATTTTTAGTTTTTGTAGTTTTTATATTTACTCTATTTATTTATATTCAACATGGTTAGATCATAATTAATTTTTTTCAAAAAGAAAATTTTGATTTAACCGTATTAAAGAAGGAAAAACAAAGTAAATAGGAAAATAATAAAGATAATATCATATCTCATAATACTAAAACTAGTGACACTTCACCAACTACACTTTTCCAACTTTAGCTTTTGTTTTTTTTTGGTAGTAGCTAGGTTACTAGGTTAGGCAAGTTCAATTGCAAAGAGAAATAGATCAAAATGGACGAATGAAAATGTAAAATTGAATTGTGGATTTATGGAAGTTTCTAGATGTAAAATTACGCGGATGATATGTATGGAAGTGTTTATTTATTGTAACACCGTTTCCTGTACTTCAACAATAAAATTGCTTGACGTGTAGTTCTGAATAAGTCATTAAGAGTATAAGAAATGTAGGACATATGGACTTCTTCTTGAGTTTTTAAACAACCGCACCATGTGCATATTGCAACTATTTTAACTACAAATACTTTCTTATCGTGAAGTAAAAATATTTTAGGATCCTAGATTCCGTGTCTATCTAATTAATAATAATATATCTTACACATTATTTGAAATATATCCTATGCTAAATTAATTACTATATTATTACTAGTTACACAATTTTCATACCAATACCCTTGCAATTCCTTTTATTTTTATAAACATTTTCAAATTCTTTCAATTTGAATTTTATTTTTATTTTTTTGGACTTTTTTTGAAAGATTTTAAGCAAAAGAAAATTATCACTTTTTTTTTTCTTTTATTCATGTATACTAGCTAGAGAGAGGGAAGAAATAAGGATGCATAGAAGTAAATAACGAACAAGACTATAGAAAAACAAATTTGCTAAAAATTAAAATCGGATTAAGGTAATTCCCGAAATGCAAACAATTAAATTCATTACAACATATGCTCCCATTAATGCAAAAAATTAATTAAACCGCACACAGATGAAGTAAGGACAACTCAAAGTTTCCATATATAATTGAATATCTAAGAGCTATATATAGCTAGTGATTAGGTAGAGCCACAGCAGACATCACTATCAGCAAAACGAAGACAACTACGGCAACGAAGGATGCCACCACAGCTCCACTGGTAGCTTGGCAAAAATCACCAAATTGGTTGCATATGGCAAGCCAATTCGAGTCTTGATTGCCATTGTGTGCCAAGTAAACTATGGCAGAAGCTGCTGCAGCACTAGAAGTCGCTAGGGCCAGGAACACCTGCATATATTCATGAACACCATAATATATTTATATTTAAAAATGTGAGTAATGTTATTTTCACACAAAAAATTATACTATTTTTTTTTATAATTATTGTATAAGATTTATAGTAGTATAAATGTTACACCAAAATTGTTAGATATAATATAAATACGATCACAATAGATCCTCTTATGTTTAATTTGAACATGATCATATCATCCTATGAATACCAATTATTCCAATGATAGATAAACTGTCAACAATTAATTTGAACATTAATTTTTTTTTTTGTTTTACCAGCTGTCATAAAATAATATCCAGTGACTTGTTATTGAATGGTCCAGGTCGTCACATGATATGATAAAAATATAATAAAATAATTGATGTGTCTTTATCCAACATCTTAAATTTTTGGAAAAATTGATTTTGACATAATACTATTAGAGTCTCTATAACCAAGTAGTCTAGAGTTCCATTTTTACTCATCATTGATGACAAAACTTGATGTATTGCTGAATGTATTAACCACTTGGTTCAGCTAAGTAGAATTATATTTGTACTATTTATAGCTAGCCTTAATTACGAACTCAAAAAGAAAAAGAGATAGACATTGAAGAGAGCTTACAGTGTCAAGGATAATGAGGAAAAGTCTTGGTCCTACTGCATGGGGACGTATTATAGTGACAATAGAGAAAGGTAGAGATAGGACTAGGTAGGCACCAACTAATGCCATGGTAATGACAAAAAACCTGCAATTTTGTACATATCAAGAGATCGTTTTGTGTTAATTCGAATGTTTTGAGAACTGATGAAAGAAATTAAGTAGAGTTAGTTTAATTTGAGAGAATTTACGTACTGAAAAGTAGGAAAACTATCATATCTGGCCTGAAACTGAAAGAACTGAGTGAAGAAAGGTAGAGTCTCATCACTTGTTGCCATGGTGGCAGCAGCACCAATAGCTGATGCTATAGCACCTAACCTTAAAATAAAGTCCATTATGGCTATCCCTTTCTTCCATCCTCCTGGCTTTGGAGCTGCAACTATAGCTGCTCTTCCTTTAGCACTATTGCTTGATTCTGGGACATCAATGGTTGTTGACATTTTTGGCTTAATTTGAAAGTGAAACAGAGTTGGTGATACACAAATTAGTGCTCTATAAAAATAGTATGTATGTACAAGATATTGTGAATTAGAGGGAACTTGGCGATGCAATAGCTTTGACGCTGAAGCTTAAATATATAGAGCATTATAATTCAAACTATGTATGTAGTCAACGATAATAGGGTAAGTTTAGTGGAAACAGGGGAGTTGTTAGAAAACCATTTCCACTTTAAATTTGATAGCAAAGCATTGGTCCAAAATAATAGTTCATATAGTTCTACTTAATCAACTTTCTTTCTTTTTTAGTTACTTTTTGTTAAGTGTGTGATAATAGTGGTAATGGTTGTCATGTGGTTTGACTATCTCTTTCCTTAAATATAATTTGCATGAAATTAAAGCCATGCAACCTAAAATATGGTAATGGACTAATGCGTTGTCATGTGGTTTGACTATCTCTTTCTTTGAAAATATAATTCGCTTGAAATCAAAGCGAGTTCTTTTCTTCTTCATTTTTTTAATTGAATTTTTCCACTGGTACTGTCCGAACATAACCAGTCCACTTTCTAGCTAGGAAATTGTTATTAAAAAAATGTGATAAATATATGTTGATATTATTATTTTTATTTAATTTCCTAGCTAGCTAGTATCTTGATTAATTAAGGAATTAAAATAAAAGTATCAAATTTAAAAAGTAAAATAATTTAATACCTTGAAAATAAAAAAGTATTAAATACTTTTTTATTTTAAAAATGCATTAGGGCAGATTGAAGGAATGATATTTAAATAGTGGTTAGCACCACCGTATTTCTTTTTGGGTCCTGTCGTCCTGGTGCATATAATATAATTAAACCTTTTATCTCTTCCTTATTTCAATCCTGTCCCCACTTGAAAACTAATCATTAAGCTAAAAAAGAGGGGGGAATTAAGGGTTTTTATAAAACAAAAAACTACTAATTACTTGCAACAAAAATATCAAATATTTTTTGTGCTCCTGGTATTATATAAAACAAAAGTGTTACTTTTCATAATTATTTTTTAATTTCAAAATAATTATTTCGTACAAACATGAAGAAAATCATTAGATACTCTTAATCTTTAGAAAATATGAATTTATTTGAGTATATTACCATCTTACTTTACTAATGCTCGCTCATTGCACTCAGTGGAGATACCAAAAAACAAGTATATAAAGTTATAAAAAAAAAGGTAAATAATGCCTTCTTGTTTTTTTTAAAGTCACAAACAATTTAAATAAATTAAATATTTAAAGCGATGATTATTTTAAAATTAGACAATTAATATTTTCTTCTTTTGTTTTTTTAACTAACATCTTTAGTGCACTTGATATTAGCTAATTCAAAATAAGAATCTCGCGTATTTGAAAATGAGAAATGATAGTGTAACAACCAATTAGTGTTACTACTAATATTACTATCAATCAATTTCACCGTTAGATCGATTATGTTACGGTTATATTATTTTCATCTTTGTATGGTTATGATTCTACATATTTAATATTTTATATTTATTTTTACCTTTATATGATTTTGATTTCTCATATTTAATGCTTTCACATTAAATATGGAGAATCATAACCATACAAAGATGGAAATAAATATAACTGCTGGATCAATATAATCAATCTAATGGTGAAATTGATTGGTAGTAACATTGGTAGTAACACTAATTGATTGTTACAATATCCTACCCTTTCAAAATAACATCTTTTATTAGTTGGTAGTATTTTTCCCCTTGATGGTTAATTTTTAATTGAAGAAGACAGAATTCTTAACAAAAAATGAGACAGAGGGATTGGATCCTTTGCTAATTAGTCTCTTTATTTCAAAATGTTACATAAGGATTAATAAAATTATTAAATACCATTATTTTAAGAAAATATATCTACATTTAATTAACTTATATATCATTTCACTCTACAATGCTCTTCTCATTTCACTTAATGTATATACCAAGAGATAATTAAAAAATTGAGAAAAAAAATTAATTCATAACTTTTTAGTCTTCTTAATTGATAAATAATATGAAACAAAATTTCTTCTTTAGAATGACCAATATTTTGAAATAGAGGAGTTATAGTCTAGTGGATCAACCTAAACTCGGCAAACTCTACCACAGTACATGGGTGATTAGATCGAGTTTATTTGCAATACTTTGTAGCCCAACACCGTGGTCGTACGTTTGAACGAGGAATAGTCTTGGATCTAAAAAGTATAAAGACTTGTCGTGAGAGATCAAAAAGTATTGTAGTGGTACTACTTCAATCAGTTAAGAAATATCTCGTATGTTTGAAGGGAAATAATTATCTCATGCAACAGAGATAAAATAGTGAGGTTCACAATATTTTTTCTTTTTTTATAAATGGTAGATTCCACTATCTTATATATGTTAAGAAATATCTCGTATGTTTGAAGGGAAATAATTATCTCATGCAACATGAGATTAATAGATCCCATGTTTGAAACACTTCAATCAATTAACTAAACGAAAAAACTTAGAAAAAGTTTCTAAGATGTTTAATTATAATGTTGCTCTTTAAAGAAAACATAATACAAATATTACTTTTAGCCACCTCATCCTTATTTTTAGGGCATGTTTGGATCACCTGATAAAGAAGATAGGATATGATAACTTATCATATATCTTATTTTTATCTCTTGTTTGGTGAGTTAATAGGATATGATTAGTTTATCCTATTGTCTCATTTTATCATATCTAATACATGATTTCTTATCCTACGGGAGGAGCTGGGTTAGGATTCAACTGGATAGGATACGAATATTGGATACCCAATATATCCTCACGTATCCAATATATCCCCACGCTACCCAATATATTTGTATTTATTGCATTATATTTTATTTTTTCTTTCTCCTTTCTCCTTTTACATAATCTTATCAGATTGCTAATCAGGTGCTCATCAAACACAGGATATGATATAGGCTCATCAAAGTAAAATACATTTGATTTTTTTAAGAGTAAATACCATTTTTGGTCCTCAGCAAATTTTACGATGCCCGTTTTAATCCCTAACAAATAAAAAGGCCCATCTTGGTCCCTAAGAAATACAAAATGAACCTATTTTAGTCCTTTTAAGGACTAATATGGGCCTTTTTTGAAATTGTGAGGGACCACGATTTCAACTAAATTAGTTCATTTTGAATTTCTTAGGGACCACAATGAGCCTTTTTATTTGCTAGGGACTAAATCGGGCATCGTAAAATTTACTGAGGACCAAAAAGGATATTTACTCTTTTTTTTAAATAGCAATCGGCATCTGCATCCCTAATGGGATCGACCCGGTAACATAAGTTTGAATGTTATTTGATAGAGGAAGTAAATTACTTAGGAGAAAATTTGAAACCCTAACTCTGTGTTTTATTCTTAATTTTCAAACCAATTTTAAAATTGAATTCTTTTTTATTTTTTGCACTTAATTGTTATTTGGAAATTATTTCCTTATAATTATTATTTCAAGCAATATCATAAAACCTTTCCGATTAATCCAACTTTGGTAAACTAGTGAACATAGTAATTGATAGATCAATACTTATGGTAACGATAATTTTTTTTATCACTTTATTATTTGTATAACCGGTGCACTGGTAGTGCGACAACAATACACAATGCTTCAGAGTATTTTGATAAACATGAGGTTTTTCTCCTTTTCTATTGATAAAATGTGATTTATTTCTATTTTCATGTAATCACACACACGCACACACATATATATATATATATAGTTAGTTAGAATTTATAAATTGTTTTCTTATTTTATTAGAATTTTTAGATAATTTACTAGTATTTCTTTTTATTTCCATATCAAGAATTTTTTTGGGATAATGAACGTTGAATCGCGAGGAGAAGTGAGTGTTTTTAAGCTAGGATAACAAATGAAATATATTACAATAACACAAAGATATTTAAGAGATAAAGCAGAGGAAATTTCATGATTAACAAAGAAAACTTTTTGAGGAGATAAGATCCTCTAATTTGTTGAGATTACAGAATATGAATAAGATAGAAAAAAATTAAAATATTATTATTTTATTAAATAATTACGGATACATTGTTATTTTGAAACTAATTACGAATATATAACACTCATTCACGTCTAAATTGGGCAAGATAATTCACGCCCAAAGCAGGCGTGAATGCCACGTAATTCACGCCCAAATTAGGCGTGATTAGTCTCGCCCAAGCCAGGCGAGAATGCCTTGACCTATATAAACCCTAAAATTTTCATCTTTCAATTTCACACCTTCTCTCTAAGATTGTTCTCTGACTTCTCTCTAGTTTTTTGGTGGAGATTTTTGTGCAGTAAAGCTCTGTCAGACAAGTAAGTCTTCATATCTGGTTTATTTAATTTTTAAATACAGCAGTAGATATGTTATACTAGTGACCTAGGAATTTGTACATATAATATGTTATTCTAGTGACCTAGGGATATGTTATACTAGTGTCCTAGGAATATGTTAGGGACTATTGAGTATATTAGTGACCTAGAAATATATTAATGACTTAGGAATATGTTAGAGACCTACAAATTGGTAGTGACCTAGGAATATTTTATACATATAATTTAATATAAACTTTAACCCTTGTTTTAGGCATGTAAATTATTTGAAAATGAAATTAATGATACCAATTAATTTGTAATTGTGTATAGTACATTATCATGGCTGACTCATCATCTTCCGAGTCACCTCGGTCTACATCCAGTACTGAGGTCGAGCCTTTGGATCCCACGACACACGTGCTTCCAGGACTATATAGGTGGGAAGTTGAAGGCACACGCATTTTTCACAGGCTGTGTGGAATGAGGAGAAGGTTCGCCAGTGCAAGACTAAATGTGGTAAGATGCAAGGGGAGCCATGTCCTGACGATATTCCTGACATTGTGGCAGACTACCTGTCATAGGCTGGCTTCTTACATGTCGCATGCATGCGACATATTCAGGTATGCATATAAGAAAGTAATTG